TTTAAACATGTTTTAATTGATATACGATTATGTATGTTAATTTGATAAAAGTTTAAAATGAAACATTTAAAAGTAAATGACGTAAAATAAATTAATTAATTAATTATAGGGGTATAAAGTGTAAATTTAAAATTATAATTTTAAAAAAATTGGTCGTGAGAGGGTGAGTGTATGTGAGGAGAGGAGGGGGTGAAAAAGTGAAAAAGTGAGTATAAATGGTATTTTGGTCATTTAGAATTTTAAAACTTTAAGACTTTTGCTAAATTTGTTAATAAGATAGTATAGATGCACGTGTTGTGAGAAATAAATACATAAAATAACAACATATTTTCCTTCTTTTATGATATTAAAAAACATACACGTTAACTTTTGCTAAGTAATAAAATATTTTTAATTTCTTCGAAAAGTGGGAACATACTTCTAAATAATGACTCGATCTAAGAATATCTTCAACAAATCTCCAAAAAAATAGTATTTACCTCCAACATATTCGCTATTTTAGAGGCTAAAACATTAATTATCTATACTATATTATAAAGCATTTGACAAAAACTATTAAAACCATTTTTTTATATATAAATTATTGTTTATTGATGCATATTATTTGAAATTCAATATTACAAGTAAATTGTGCGTATGTACAATTTATTAAAGCTTCATGTTTGAATTCGTGTAACTAACTACAAATAAACATAATCAAATAGAGAATAAACATTATATTTTAAATATATTGGACTTTGCTAACCGATCTCATTCGATTAACATTGGATAATGGATCCAATCCAATCCAATTGATGATTGGATCGGTTCAATTCTATTCATTTGATACTTTTATTGGATATCCGATCCGATGAGATTGGATCCATCCAGTGTGTTAATTCGATCCAATTCTCTAACAATGAGACAAATTAATTAATCACTTTTGATATGTGTAAAAGCAACACAAGAGAAGTTAAAAATTCAAAGTCTCACATAAAAACAAATTCCGATTTAAGCAATTTGAAAATAAATTAATTGGACGATAGTTGGATAATGGTTGGATGGTCATCGGATGATTAATTGGATGTTGATCGGTTCGGTTCGGTTCGGTTTTGGTCGGTTGTAGACTGCCACCCGAGAACCGACCGATCCAAATTGAACGTTGAAATTTTGAATCTTATCCGATTCAATTACAATTGGATATTCAATTATGGTCGGTCAGTTATAATTGGATCAATCGATTCCAATTGGATCAGTTGATTTTCTGCATACCGCTAGGCCAAAGGCTCTTTGGTTGTAAACCGTAAATAAAAGAGAGTAATAATATGTATCTGATATTTTCATTGGCATGATCTGATTAGGACATTACACTACTGTTGTTAATACGTGTGGTGATTTTTTATGGGTCAATCCAACCCCTCCATCCCGTTACGACATATACTAATGTAGGCCCGTTTTGACTCAAAATCGTTATAGTATGTTATCTACCTCAATTAACCTGTAAAATAAATAATGAGTTGTTTGGTAGTTGCTGAATGATTTGGTGCAGAATGATTAAGTGGTTATAATGATTAAAAGACTCTCATGATATAGTGCAAAATGAAATATAATTGTTTACAATGAAATTAGGACGCTGAATGGTTAAGGGAAGACCATGATACAAAATCATTCAGAGGATTTTAGATCCATTAATAGACATACTATTTTTTGTCGAATAAAATCCATCTCTTAACGATTCAGATGATGCATCTTAATAAAACTATTAAGAGATAAACAAACAACCTAGTAATATAAATCATTTCTCAAATATATACCGAACAAATTGTATCAGAATTAAATCAAATTTGCTTTTGTTCTTATTACTAGAACACAAATATTTAAAATTTAGTCCTTCTAGATGTTAAATTTATAGTTTTAACCCTTCTTCTTTATATACTTGCTAAATGCAACCCTATTTTGAATTTTAGTTACGTTCTAACTGGAGCTGCCATTGCAGAAAGGGAACTCTGCGTGCCTGCGTGCTACCACTGCCGTCGATTTTGCATCTCCATGTGAGTTCTGATGCAATTTGCTCCGGTAATCTTCGAAATCTTTGCAATATTACCTTATTCTATGAGTCGTACGGCACTACTTTGAGTTCTACCTGTTCCCGAAACGTAAACCCTATTTATCGCTGTTTTTTCCGTTTGATTTGACATTTTGTTTTGTTTTGTTTATACACACGAATTTTAATTGAGTTCTTTATAGATCTTTTTATTCGGTTGTGAAATCTTAAACCCTAGTAGTTTCTCGAGTTGGGTGTTTAGTTTGATTTGGAATTTTGATGAACAATCTCGGTGGAAGCTCATCATCTATTGATATTTGAAATTGATAAACGATATGTCTTGTTTCGACAGTCAATGGCTTGTGGAGTTCAAATTTCATCGCTGAATTACTATTCGTTCTCTACAATTGTGAATGGAACTGATGAACGTGCTGTTGTTAAGGAAAATTCTGATTCAGTGCTTCACTGGAAAGACAAACATGGCTTCTGTGCTGGCTTATCACCTTTCCTTAGCAAAAGGTAATTGTGTTTGAATAATACTCCTTTTACCTTCCTAATAATTTCAGCATTACCCTATTCTATGCATCTTGTTGAGTAATTATATTGCTGTAGAATGTGCTTGATAAGATTTACAGTTTGCGACTAGAATCATATGGTGTTATAATGCAAGCGCAGATTTTCAATTCGGTTGTAGTATGTGGATATCTATCTGGGGCTGTTTGGTTGGTTTTTCAATTAAGTCCTTTATGGATAAATCCGTCAGTGTGGATTAATATGACTGTATAGATTAGGAAGGTTTTCGTTTGGGATGGTTTTTTCATAGATGGAAGGAGCTTGTTTTTTAATTGGAAGGGGCTGGTATGGAAAAACTTGGCTTTCTGCAGCTCCCCTTAGAAACTGACTGAATAAGCCACTTTTTATATTATTAAGCCACTACCAAACAGTCATGTATAGCTGACCAAGTAAGTTGTAAGTTCAGTTAAGCTCATTAAGCTACTATCAAACAGGCCCTTTGGCTAGCGAAGCCTTTTGATTCTATAGAATTTTGTTGGGTTAAATCAGATACAGTGGGGAGAAATTAGGTGGCTGAATTACAGCCAACACAGAAACTCTTGTGAGATACCCTGTCCATGTGGATATATGTTTGAAACAGGATATTGACAGCAAATTTTGAAACAATAAGCTGGTTTAGTGGCTGAATATATGCCTAGATGACTTGATGTGATTGATGGATATCCATGACTATGGTTTTAGAATGTTTGCTTTAGTAATCTAATGACATAAAATGCTAATAGCTTTTTCTATTTTATTTAACGGTGCATGGTTGTATAGATCAAGCCTGACAAGGAATTAGAGTTTCTACTTAACATTAGCACAACATAATGCCTACATAGGTTAACTATGGGTGCATTTGGTACGTGGACGAGACTGGACTTGATGGGCAAGAGTGAGGTAGACATGTGAAAGAATCGTCAAAAGTTTTAGGGTTTTAATTTTAGGATTTTTGTTCCACCCATTTTGGTGGAACCCAAAAAACCATTTTTGTCCCACTCAGTCCTGTCATATCTTGGCCTAAGGTCACGCCAAACGTGGGACATGAAGTTTTTGTTCTGTCCTGTCTAGCGTACCGAATACAGCCTACTACTATCTACATTTAATCCTGCACAATGGGGTTTCTACATTTCATTTTATTTACCCTCCTCGGAGGTTTCACCCACTAATGACTTAAAAGCTAGAGTGGTTATATAAATACACTTGCATGGTAAGACCATGAAAACACATATGGAAGACACATCAATGTTTGTGAGAACACTTTCGAATATTGCACTAAATATCAAATAACATACATGTACATGGTCTACACCAACTAGAAGAAAGTTTGGAACATTTGTTGGGGCTTGAGAAAAAACTGGGCAACCAACTGCTTAATCGTCAAGAGATCCCAAGCTAAGGGGATTGTTTTGAATAGGTTTGACAAGGTCGAAAAGTACCTTAAGACACCCTTGACTATGCCTGAATAGCATGAATATCAAGTGATTGTTTCAGGTACCCAAAAGTGTTGGCACTTTTGTACCTAACCCATTCTACCTGCTTGTTTCCCGTTGGTATCTGGAAGTATATGGATGATTCTTTTTATTATGTTGTAAACTAATTATTAGTGTAAAGGTAAACTACATAATCCATCCTTGGACTGTATGCCTAATGCCCACCTTTGGTTTGGCCACTCAAGCAATTGACAAACACTTTTACTCACCTGACTCCGTTGTCACCGACATTTCCTTTCAAACTAATGGACTAAGGTGCATAACCATTGCGCACGACTTTTGAAGGGGAAAATTGGTCATTTATAATCATCTTTCTCTCTTTTTTTCTTCATCTTCATTCTCATTACTGTTAATTCGAAAATCCTAGAAGCCTTAAATCGATATCGTACCAAAAGTGACATCTTTTTGTGTGTTAAGATCATAGGGCGCACCCTATTCCATTTGAAAAAGTGCATTATGTTTATACATATTAACATATACATGGGAAGCTGCTTATTTACAACACCCTTATATATGTGTGTGTGTGTGTATGTATATGTGTGTGTATGTGTTTACATATGCATACACAATTTACAAAGAAGAGATAAAGATGAAACTACATCCTTCGCAAACGAGAATAAACCCAATCCTAATGAAGATAGAGATGAAAAAAATCATACAACATGTAATGCGTTTAACATGGATACCAAACAGGCTGTTATTCTTGTTTCAGAACCTTCATGTGGCTGCTATTTCTGCTTGCGTTATCACCACATATGTCCAGTTTTCGTTTTTGGTTCACATTTTTTTGTGTAGGTCTATAATTTTGCCTATGTGAGCTTACACTTCCATGTATGAGTTGAATGCATAGTGATGCAGTATCATTTTTCCTCCACAGACCCCCGTCCTTGAGTCTCTTTTCTTTTTTCCTTCTTCCATGTCTTCACTTCCATTTGTGCATACTTATTGATGACCATATCCGCATTAAGGATTTTACCTTAAAACTCTTACCAGGTTAGAGTATAGATCTTGTCTCTTCCCAAGTTTTGACATATTTCATCCCAGAAAACTCAGGATCCACTCACCATTCTTCATGTCTCTTCCTACTTCCTAATCACAGGTCTTCCCACCAAAGCAATGCGTCTCTTTCCATTTTAAATTTCACATTCTTGGAAGATACATATTTTTTCTTTAATCCACTCTTGCAGTCTTCCTATCAGCTCATCCACAGAGCTCAGTGCGGCTTTTGCAATAAAGATTTATGAGATCCATGTCTTTGTGCCTCGAGCCCTCTTTTTCCTTCCTTATCCATGCGTGTTTGGTACACGGACGGGACTGGACAGGCGTGAATAAGGCGGGTGAAACCATTGTGGAAGCTTTTACAGTTCTAATTTGGCATGGGTAATTTTGTAATTTATCAATCTTGTCTCATTTCCCTAAATTTTGTTCCACCTTTGGTGGGATAAAAAAGTGCATTTTCGTCCCACCAGTCTAATGTAAGAGCCAAACATTGGGTGATAAGTTTTGCCTTTGGCGTAAGCTTGACTAGCTTAAAATTCTGTGCAAGGCTGACAAATTAGATGCATATCAATAAAGCATTCAAGAACTGGCTCTATCTGAGGGTCCATTCTGAGCTTATTTGTGATGCCTCTGGGTATTATTATAGTTCACATTTTTCTCATGTTCTTTTACATATAGGAATTGTTGAGTTTGTTGGGTAACATTTAGACATTGGCCCTTCTTAGAAACTGGGTTCAAAGTCGATAGATTCGCTGATTGGGTGTTAAGTATGTACCGAAGTCCAGCAGGTTCCCGATTGTATCAAGGTAATTCCAAAATTTAGGAGAAATTTTGAAGGACTGTCCAGAAATAGAAAATTAAATGACATCTCCTGTAATTTGAAAGACGCGAATGAAATTGACCAAAACTGTAACATACCTGGAACAGGATGTTCAGACAACAAATGGACAATTTTGTGAACCGGGTTAGTAGAACTTGAAAATGATTTTATTAAGTTCGTTGCAAGGTTCAAAAAGATGTGAGGCGTAGCCTTACACGCCACGGCAAGGACGCCTCATTTTTCAAGGCGTGACATGAGGTTGCAAATTTGTATGTCATATATATATATATATATATATATATATTCTATATATTATTTAATCAGATAATGATATTAAAAAATGTACATTCATATTAGAAGAAGAAAAATTGTATAGATTATTATTATAAGAATAGGTTTTTGATCAAATATTTAAAGTAGAACTTAGAAAGGTAATTTTACAACTTTATTTTAACCGTGAGTCTGTAACGTTATGAGTTTGTGAAACTGTGAGTGATGTGATTAGTTAGATCTATAAAAATATAAAATCTAAAGTTAAAAGTGTAAAAACACAAAAGATAAAACATATAAAAATCACGTGTTACAAAAAAAACGCGGGCCATGGCGCGCCTCAAGACGCCATGGCGTGAGCCACGCCTTACAGAAACGCTATGGGCCATTTCGTAACGGCGGAGATGCGTCTTGCACCATATCGCACGCGCCTTTTTGAACACTGGTTCGTTGTAATACTCTCTCCGTCCCAAAATAAGTGTCCACTTTAAAAGTAAGGGTCTAGTTTACAATTCTAGCCTTAATCATGAGATGGAGAAATTCATTACTCCCTCCATTATTAAGGGTAAAAATTGTCATTTAGTTATTTAAAACATGTAATAATTCCACATCTCTAAAACTGTGTTTGTGGATTTATTTTGAAACGGAGGGATATTATGTTATATAAGCATACCTATCTCTATCCAAAAGAATAGGACGGATGTAAGCAGGTGGGGTGAGGTAAGATGTAAGCAGACCCGAGCTCTAATTTTGGAGGGTACTCCAAATTTGCATATTTTTACTCATTCTCTTCTACTTTCTCCGTTTTTGAGGCTCTGTTGGAGCAAAAATATTTGGATAAATACTCCAAGATCTCCATTTTCTCCATTATACAGAATTTGTTGGAGATGTTCTAATGTAGCCAATTCTTGTTGCAACAGTTCCCGGAGAAGACGTGGTTGGGAAATGGTGGCTTTTGCTTTAAACACCGGTGGTTTGCCGACCAACGGCGACCAAGAAACCACGAATGGCGGCATCCCGCCTGGGCTTGGCCAAACAAGATTAGGACGGCTGGTGAGCGCAGGTGGCAGACAGCTATTGGAGAAGCTGAATTCCGCTAGGAAGAATTTCCCAATGAAGGTATTTCTCTTACTCCTTGGTTTCTACACTGCAAATGCACTCGCTACCATCCTCGGGCAAACGGGGGACTGGGATGTTTTAGTTGCCGGCGTGGTGGTGGCGGCAATCGAAGGGATTGGTATGCTTATGTACAAAAAATCCGCTACTACATCTAACAACAATAATAATAACAATAACAGTAATCGTAGCAAGAGGTTTGAGTCGCTGGTCGTGATGATAAACTATTGGAAAGCCGGTGTTTGTTTAGGGCTTTTTGTAGATGCCTTCAAGTTAGGAAGTTAACCCTTTCTCAAAAAGTTGTTATGATCTTTCGACATTCTATCAGTCAGATAGAGGTATAGTCTGCATGCATCTTACCCTCCCCAGAACCTGTATTCAGGTGGGATATATTGGATACGTCTGGTTTGGTTTTTTACCATTCTTCCCTACATATTCTTTTCTGACTTTCAGAGTGTTAATTAAGTTGTTATATTTTGTATTTTGAGAAGTTAATAAGAACAATTTTTTGAGGAAGGATATATCAGTGATTTATATAACATAATTTGTGTGGGTTATAGTTGTTAGAGTGCTACATCAGCCAGACTTTAGATCATTTTTGCTATGTATTGGAAGTTCCATTATTTGTTTCAAGGACTATTTTGAAGAGTAATCTAATGGGGTTTCACATATTCTTACAGTAAATTTTATTTCTTGGAAACAACCCCTTTGTCTTTTGAGACAAATGAAAGGTCTTTGTATATTTTTATCCCTCATGTCATACGTTAGGATGGAATATACTCGGTTTGTTTGGTTGGGTAACAGGTCAAAATCATGTGCTAAGTAATATGTAGAAAGATGACACAGCTTGGGATGTATAACGGGTCAAAACAAATAGAGTAGACTTGTTAATATTGTTCTTGAATATTGTAAGGATGCGTTTGGTATGCAGAACATGATAAAACCAAAAAACTTGTTGTCTTATGTTTGGTGTGGCATTAAACTGGAACAGGGACAAGACAATAGGAGAATGATGCACTTTTTACTGATTCTGTCATTTCCCACTAAAATAGATGGAACAAAAATCAAGAAGATGAGACAAGATTGATGAATACTGACCTAACCATGTCAAATTAAAACCCTGAAACCAATACAATTCTTTCAGATACCTATCTTACGTTCGCCTGTTCAAATCCTTATAATGAACCCTAAGTAATTAATATATTAAAAAATAATTTTAATTTATTTGTTATTAAAATAATATAGGACACATTGCATGAAAAAGTAACGTATTTTTAAAACTTTCATTTTGGTACCTATGATATAAAGTTTTAAACATTTAAGTACCCAGATAACTTGTTGAATCATTAACCGGTTACCATGCTGATGTGGTATCCTAATCCAACTCAATATTATTTGCTAAAGCATTATTCGGATACCACATCACTCGTCACATCAGCATGGTAACCGGTTAATGCTTCAACCTGTTACCCGATTATTTAAATGTTCAAAACTTTACATCTTATATACCAAAATGAAAATTTTAAAAGTACGTTACTTAAAATAGAAATCAAGTTAAAAGATAGATTAGTTTTTAATACAATTTACCCTTTAAATAATATAAAATATTGGTGAGTAGAAAGAAAGTTGGGGATACTTATGAGTAGAAAAGGGGTGATGTTTTGGGCATAGGGCAAAGGGTTGAGCATGTGAGAGGCTTTTTGACCGCCTTTTGATTCCTTTCTTCACGGTCAAAGAATTATTAATTATTAATTTATTATTTCAAGAATTATTTTAATTTTGTTTGTTTTGGTAATTGGTAGTAGACAAAATTCACAACCCACATGTCCGTACAACCCTTCAACGTTTTCCTGCTTCGTTTTCCTAAACCTTTACTTTTTATATTAACATATTATAGAGTAAATTGCACCCTTGGTCCCTCTCGTTTGTTTAGAATTTGGATATGGTCTTTCTTTTCAAAGTAAACACACCGGGACCAAACCAAGCCGGGCTTGGCTTAAATCGGTTCCGGTCCTGGTCCCGGTCTTGGTCTTGACCAAAACCCACAGGTTGGGTTAAGTTTTCTTGTAATCGGTTATGAGAACCGGTCGTGGTCTTGAACCGGGCCCAAACCAGTCCTAAGTTTTTTTTTTTCTTTAAATTTGATTTTTTTCATATTTTTTGTGGGTTTTTTGGAAAAATAGAAGAATGTTATTCTAATACACTTACAAATATGTAATTGGGTCAATGAAATACAGTTAAAAAAGAGATGGGAATTAGGAGTTGTTAAAAACCAAAATCATGAATTATAGCGAGAATTGTGAAAGTTTTTTGCGTTTTTGTGAGTAGGTATCTTTCTTCATACAATATATAACTTATATATAGTGTATAGAGGGTAAATGGGACAAAAAAGAAACGGTTAGGACGGTCATATGAACGTTGGGCAACGACTATAAAACGACTTTTTTATAAAAAAAATCTTGTTGGTCCTTGGTTGGGCCATATTTTTTGACAAAAACCGTAACCGACGGTCCTAAACCGACATCAATCAGTCTTGGGTCGGGCCGGTTCCAAGTCGGTTTTGGTACTCCGCTGGCTTGGGCCGGGCTGGGCCCATTTGGCCATCGAGCATCTCTACAATTTGCAGTTTGTTGCGTTTTGGGTTCTTGTTCTTAAAGGAGTTAAATCCAATTTGTTAACTTTAGTAGTTTATTCGGTTTGTGGGTTTGATCTAAAGTATGCTCGAGTTAACTGCTGGAGTTAATTTCGTTAGGGACAAAGACCCAAAATGCAACGAAATGTAAACCATAAGGACGCTCAGTATACTTAATTTAAAAGAGGGGGCATATGCAGATTGTAAGCAAAACTACAGGGACCTATGGTGTAACTTACTCCAACAAATATCTTGTTATAAACATTACAAGACTAGAGCCATCTCTAATTAACACAAATCAGTCAAATTAGATGATTATGGAAATGATGAAGATTCATTTATTATGATTTAAATATTTAAAATACTCCTATTAAACTAATACATATGCTCCTTATTTGAGTAAGGATAGTGATTTGTCCCGATCCGGTGGAGAACCCGGCTCATCCAACTCGAACGGGGACGGGGATTCCCGTTAAAACAGGTCCCAGGGACGGGGTCAGAGATCCTCAGTAGACTCAAACTGGGGTTGGGGCTGAGGCTGGGGATCCTCGGTCGACTCAAACTAATGGATATTGCATCATGGGTCTCTTTTAACCATTAAGCGTCCTAATTTCATTATAAACAATTATATTTAATTTCACATTATATCATGAGAACTTCTTAATCATTCTGTATCATAACATTCTGTAACTATCAAACAGCCCATAAATATTAAAAATAATTCATATGTATTTATGACACCTAATAATGTGATTAAATCCAAAAATATTATATATTGAACTCATTTTGAAGGTATTGACGAGATCATTATAATTATATAATTAAAAAAAATAAACATATTTTTATGTATTTTAATTAATATACAATTATGTATGTTGATATAATAAAGGT